GAATGTCATGAAACTTCTCCGATATAGACTATGTGAATAACACAGTGAATTTCTTAATGGTGCTGATTCTATAAATTTGCCTATATTCTTCAAAAATGTTTGTGTGTCACAAAACACGAAGACAGCTAAGGCTGCTCCAGATTCAAGCAGGCTAAAGACATGACAGTGAATGATAAGGTATAGCCTCTGTCTAGTTATAGACCTGGAGGCAAAAAAAATAAAATAAAATAAAGTAAAAGACACTTCTGGGACAACAGCTGAAATTGAATGCGGACTGTAGATCAAAGTATTAAGTCTCTTAAATTTGCTAATAGTACTGAGGTTATATATCCTTGTTTGAGTGAAACACTCAAATGATTCAGAGGAAAAAAATGCATGTGTATATATTTGTAAGAGAGCTTGGAGAAGACAGGAAAAAAATGATAAGGTAAATGAGTGAAAGGAGTATATTACTTCATTTTCAAAATTTAAAAACTATGTTTATCGCAGCATTATTTACCATAGCTAAGATATGGAACCAACCCAGATCCCCTCACTAGATGAGTGGATCAAGAAAACGTGGTATATACACACAATGGAATTCTATGCCTCCATCAGAAAGAATGACATTGCCCCATTTGTTAGGAAATGGAAAGACTTGGAAAAAATTACATTAAGTGAAGTAGGCCAGGCCCAAAGAAACATAGGTCCCATGGTTTTCCTTATTTGCAATAACTAGTATATGTCTGAGACAAGTAGAAATGGTCAGATAAGTTGATGTTAGAAGAAATGAGCCCCAAGATAAGGACTCAAATGGTTTTTCTTTCTTGCTATTGTTTCTAACGTATTTATAAGGTGACTATTTTGTTGCTTTGTATGTCCCTCCCCCATGATATAACCCTTGTTTTCACTGTATTTAAAGTTGGTATAATTTGGGGAGGGGAAGGGAAAAAACAAATTGTTTAATAAGGATACAGGTAGACCCATTGCAACAATGAGATGTACAAGATGTTATGATGAAAAATGAACTTTACAACTTCGGGGGGGGGGTGCAGGAGAACGGGGGATGGGGTGGAGATGGGAAGGATGGGAAGGGGAAACAAAGGAGGAGGCAACAATGCTTAATAAGAAATGTACTCATTACCTTGCTCATGTAATTGTAACCCCTCTGTACAGTATTTTCACAATAAAAAAAAAAGTAAAAAAAAAAAAATCACTCACAAAGATACACACAGTAACAACAACAACAACATAACCCAGAAATATTTTGAGGGTTATCAGTGTGAACTAGGTGTGAACAGAAAAGTAATTAAACTTGTAAATAATAGTACAGGAGACATTTTATTAGTTTCATGACCATGATAGTAACCATCGACACTGATGGAGCAGTTTAAAGGAACTGTGCACTCTGGAAGGTGCTCCACTTGTATGACCTCTTTGAATCTTTACAACTCCCTTTGGAAAAAGGTACTGTAATTATCTCCATTTTACAGATGAGGAAACTAAGTAATACAGATAGTAAATAGTACAATCATGAACCAAGCTAGATTGTTTGATTATAAAACTGGTGGGCTTTGCTATTAGGTTAATTTGTTTATTAATAACCTGTTTATTAATTTTCCTAAGGAATGAACAATTAATCTCAATCTGATGAAATTTTGACATGTATTCATGGATAAGGGTTTCCTCTACTAATTAAACTTAGAGTACATGTAAGACAGAGATAAATGATGTTTTTGGATTCCATAATATACTTTATGCTCACTTTCTTTTCAAAAGGCTGAATTTCATAATACATATATTCTTCAAAACAAAACAGATGCCACTGTAGACTGGATGAGGTGGTCTCAGTTACTTGAGAGCCTGAGATAGGACAATTTCTTGAGCGTAGGAGTTGAATACCAGCCTGGGCAATCACCTGAGAATATAGTTGACAGTGGGCAGGTAAGTATGAAGCTCTGAGTTCAAACTCATGACCACAAGGAAGAAGAAAGAAAAAAGAGGGAAGAAGGAAGGAGAAGGAGAAGGAGGAGAAGAAATTATTCACATCCACAGGGCACTTAAACCGTGATACCAAATGATCACATCAGATTGAAGATTGAAGAATGTCACTTTTATAATGTATCAAAGTGCTGGGCCCTCTTGATTCCCTATTAGCCATAGCAAATCATTAAATCTGTTCCTTTTAACTTTGTAAAGAACGTTTCTTGGCAATTTTTAAGATGTGAGCCCCCAAACAAAATGACACCACCATCTATTTGTACCTCAAGACTTCTATCTACACTTCTTGCTCAATCAATTCAGAAAGGACAGCTTAGAAAACTTAGATGGGCATTCAACACCAACCATCCATTTTAATTTGCCTAATGGAAATGACCTCTCAAACCATTTGATCTTATTTCAAGTTTTTTTTTTATCCTTTCTTTCCTCTCCTTTTAATGTAAGGTAGTGTGATCTTAGTGTTCATTTTTCCTTTACTCTTGGCTCTTCAATTCCACTAAAATGAATGTTTACTGCTTGTAACATGATGTTTTTTCCCCTCACAAATAAAACATAAGCTGCTGAACACCTGCAGGAAGCCGAGAGGCTTTAATACAACAAGTTAAAATACTAATGTATTTACACGTATTTAGGAAAAATATAGCATCTAACACCATAAACACCTATTTACAACCCAGGATGCATTTTCTATCACAGAGAAATTTAAAATCTTCAGAACTTCTGGAGGTAGGGCCCAGCAATCATGTGTTCCCTATGTGGAGCCAGGCGTGAGATTCTGAGATCAAACATCCATGTACATTATTTGTGTATAGAACAAAAGGAGGAGCTTTTTTTTTTTTTTTTTTTTTTTAGAACTAATCATTGTATGTGTATAAGCGGAGGTAAAGGGACTTGAACTCAGGGTCTTGAGTTTCTAGGCAGATGCTTTATCTCTTGAGCCATGCTCCCTAGCTCTTTTTGCTTTTAGTTATTTGTTGAACCGTATATCAGATATTTATGGCCAGGAAAGGTTGGACAGTAATCTTTCCATGTATACTTCCAGTATAGCTGAAATGAAAGGCAAAAGTCATTGTGCCCGGTCCTCTACAAACTTTTTGCCCAGACCAATCTCAAACCATGATCTCCATCTCCAAGACAGCTAGAATCATAAATGTGAATGGCCATGCTTAACTGATCTCATTTATTAAGGAGTGTATAGTCCAACTGGTATGTGAAGGAAGATATGTATGTCCACAAGAAGAAGAAATTGAATGAATAGTAATGACATGTGCCAAATGAACATGATATACAGTAAGTATATCAAGAGACCAGTGGGGGCAGCAGAAGACCTGCACGTTTCAACCCAAAGACAGGCTGAAAAGCAGCATGTGCTGAGGGAGGCAACTCAAGTGAGGCAAATGGTATAAATGTGAAATATCCAGTGTGATCAGGAGGCTGTGACTAATGTATCTCAGGTGAATGGCTTTTCAGAGTAGAAAGACTGAAGAATTAGGCTAGAACTCTCAAAGGCCTTAAACAACAAGGTAAAGAATCCCCAAAGAGAGCTGAAGAAATAGCTCTGTGAAGCATTCCTCTGTGAAGACTGATTTGACAGAACTATTCACAGAGGGTTTAGGGAAAGACTGGAACTTGGTCTACTAATGGAAGAATACAACTAGGTAGTCATGTATGTGATCAAACAATGCAGAAATTTGTTTCTTTGCAGTTTGGGACAAAGACAGAGTTAGAGCCTGCTAAAAGTAGTGTAGATTTCCCCTGTTGTGAGAACTTTCTGGAGACTGTCTGGAGGCTACGTGTCATTCTTCACTCCTTTGAAAACTGGCATCACTCCTATTACCTGACTCCCAATCTCACAAATGAATATCTTTGGCAGTTCAATGTTTCCCTTTTTCCATGAAGGCTACTCAATCAGGAGGTGAGGTATTATAAATCTAGAAGGAAAAATTTAAGTCATACAAATTCTCACAGAAATTCCCTAAGTATTTTTTGAATAAGAAGAATATTTTGAGAAGCTCATACCAGCAATCAAAACTTCTGAGAATCCAAAAGAGCGCCAAATTTCATTGTATGAGGATCATTTGCTACTATTTTAGCAAGGACTTTTTCCAAACAGACAACCTGATAGGCATTTTAGAAACTGGCTAGTTTAGTACTAAGCAATTTATAGTTAGTTGGTTAAAATGTTCTGCTGTAACTAAATTAAAAATGAAGATGAACACAGAAAGAGTTATGGTCCTTTATATAATGAACTGTAAGTGCCAGCATGAAGTATAAGGTAAATTATATACATATTTTCTTTTTTTAATTTAGTTTTATTGTCAAGTTGATGTACAGAGGAGTTATAGTTACAGTAACATACGTAACATAGTGAGTATATTTCTTGTCAAACTTGTTTTAGTGCACTTAGAAGCTACTAATATTGAAAGTGTATTCAAACCATTTAAGATATCCCAAGTTCAGTTTGGGCCATAGAATGTGCTCAATAAATTTGAAGTCACTAAGCTGAATAGAATTTAAAGGGAAAACAAGATAGCTGTCACATGCATTAGAGAAGAGAGGTCCTCTCCATTGCTGTGTTCTAAAGGTCTAGTTGACAAGAACAACACATCTAGGTACCTGAATTTCCCATACTCCTAAAACCTGTAACATTCCATCATGAAAGGCACCTTTTGGAATCACTGCATCAGTGTTATTCACAAAGACAATGTTCAAGTTGTACACAGATCTGCTTGGAGATCAGATGTTCACTACACATGCTGATTTTAATCCAAGACTGCAAAGTTCTTTGTGGTTGTAAAAATTTTCATCTTACAAATATCTAGCTGCCTTAATTAGAAATATCTACAACAAAATGAGTCTGAGATTTTACTCACTGATTTAAAAAGTGTTTGGTTCTTGTTTTTTGAAGTCATTGTGTTATCTAGTTTAGAGACAGTTTCTACTTATGAAGGAAAAGCATGAACTTTCTAAGTCTCCTTTCTCCTTTCTTGCCTGTTCCTGACCCTTGAGAGGTATCTTACCTGCATAATGTACTGGAATCTCTATCTTTGGCCCAATGACATAGTGGCCCTCCTCCAGACTGTGGGCAGTGATGGTGGTCCACTGACGACATGAATGGATCAGAAGATAGTCATTCTCTCGCAACCCTTCTATGCATTCTCCTGGAAAACAAACAATTTTATGTAAGAAAATTGTAATTCACATCTCCTTACTCCATGCTTTGCAATAAAATCTCTTTAGGTAAATTTTGATATGCAGAAGCTGATAACTAATAGTAAGGTAGAAAAAAGTCTACCCTTGATTTAAAAAAAAAAAAAAAAGTAAAAGTATTCCATACCAAGTTGAAAAATGGACACAGGATTTCATAAAAATGTTTTCTATATATCTGGCAAATACTTCACTGTACGGAACAGTTAATTTCAATGGTAGTTTTTAAAAGTACGTACAGTGCAGTAGGCACTGTTTTGAACATACGTGTGTATGTATAGATATTTTCATATATATTCATGTATTATATATTCATATATTTTATGTAATAAAAACTTTTAAGGAGTTACTGTTCCTCCTTTACAGGTAAGAAAGAAAAATCATGGTCCAGAATATTAGGTAACTTGTCTAAACTCAGATTTAAAAAGCAGAAAAATGATATCTTTTTTTCTTTTTTTCTTCTTGGTTGGTTGTGGGACTTGAGCTCAGGGCCTGGGTACTATTCCTGAGTTCTTTTGCTCAAGGCTAGCACTCTATCATGTTAAGCCACCATGCCACTTTTGATTTTCTGGTGGTTAACTGAAAGTAAGATTCTCATGGCCTTCCCTCCCAGACTGGCTTTGAGTCACGATCCTCAGATCTCAGCCTACTGAGTAGCTACACAGGTGTGAGCCACTACTGCCCGGAAAAAGTGAGAATTTAAAGTGGGAATTATTTAGGCCCACAACTTCTTTTAATCACTATAATAAATAATAAGCTGTGTCTCTGTTGAAAGAATACTTGGAGTCAAATGTGTATATTTCCTTTTAAATATGTCTGCCAGCTCTCTCTGGACTTATCCCAAACCTCCCAATCAATTAAATATAATGAAGTTTTATAGCATCCAAATGAAATTATTTTTCATTTTAATATTCTCTGAAGTACCTTTCTGGCCTTTGAACTGATAAGAAACTAGTTTAAAAGAGAAATCCACTCCCTAAAATGTAAAAAATGTTTTTCATATGCTGACATAATCCATCCCATTAATTCAGGGTTAGTTATCTGAAATGTTCCATGAAATACCTGAAAAGACTAATTCCTTCATACAGAAAACACCTTCTTATTTTTTATATTAACTTTATTATAGTAATTAAGACTTATTAGTAAGATAATATTGTGTTTTGAAATGGCATTTGCAGATCTCTCTAGAATAAAAAGATTCAGTACTTTTCCAATTAATAGAGAAGGCAATAATGGACAACTTTGACTATTCCAACTATAAACTAAATTTTTTCCAAATCAATAAATGCAACCATGTTTAAAACAGCCTTAATACAAGAATATTATATCTTTGTGGTAGAAAATACAGTGAAATGTTTTGTCTTTTGAAGAAAGGGGGAGGGGGAAACAAACAACTGGAGGTAGAGATACATGAGCAAGAATGGAAGGGCCTAATTATTCATTAAAGGGTTGTTCCAAACCTCATTCCTCTGCCCTTCATGCTTTAGAAAGACTGGGCTTTTCTTGAAGACATCTCCAAGGGGCCACTATTATTTAAGAGCCAGCTCTTTTCTTTCCTCAAGAATGTTAGGGCAAGATGGAAATCAGCCAGAAGCTGCATGGTAAGCTTTCCACTCCTGCCATCCCCAGGAGAGGGCAGGCATATAGTAGGCAGAATAGTTATAAACACCAGAATGGGTGTGTGGGAGGTGGGGGGGAGGGCGGGAGGAAGGGGAGGGAAGTTTAGCACACCTGATCTTATTAGTATCATGCCACTCACTGACTGGATGATCTTGGCCAGATCAAATCTGCTTTTCACTTAGGATGTAGTTCCTGTTTCACAGGTAATATATAGTAACAGAGAACAGATAATGTTTAGCACCAAGTCTGGCAAATTAGAATTAATTAGGAAACATGAGCTATTAACTTTATTGTAACTGGTTTTCCCTAAAATTTAATCCTTATGTAAACATTGTAATTTAGGTCAAGTTATCCTTTAACAGGTTACAAAATGACCTTCAGAACAGTCAAGAAACTCAGTCACTCAGGTAGCAAGTGGCACAAAATGACTTTAGTGCCCATCTACATTTTTTCTTCATCTTTTTGCCACTGCACTATCCTGTGCCTCACAGAACAATGACAATAACCCAAGAAACAGGAAGAAGCTAATCTTCACATGTGTATTTCACTCATTCCCTCAAGTAACATGACAAGCCTGGATCTAAACATTAATATTTGTCAGTGAGCAAAACAAAGTGCTTAATATCCAACAGGGAGGAGGAGACAGCTGATAACAGACAGCAAAAGAATGATTACATTACAAACTAAATAGAAGATGAGAGGTCCAAAGAAAAACTAAATATATGGGAAGGGAATTTTGTATTTGTTATTTAAAAGTATTTTTCATTCAACTGTCCAGCAAACATCTACTTTTACTCAGTATTTTTATTCAACAGGAATGGAGGAGTCAGAACAATATAATGAATACTTGGCTCCCAAATTGAAGTCCACATTCTCAATATTGCAGTGTGCTTATGAATAATATTATGTAAGGCAGGGCAAAACCCATGCTGGCTGAGAGGACAAAATATCTCAAGTAGAGATGGGGACTTCAGCAGAGAAGATGAAGGAAAGCATTAAGAGAAAATATAGCAACTGAGATGTTCCTCCTCAGATGAGAAGGAGACAATGGGGAGCCATTGAAGGATAGAGGAATGACCAAATCTCTGCTTTAGGAAAATTAATCTGATAGTAGTACAAAAGATGGATCTAAGTAAGAAGAAGCCAGAGCCATGAAGCATATGCGTGGCTCAAGGTAGAATACACTGCCATTCAGGGAAAAGAGAAAAATGTCATTCTCTCCAACTAAATGGTTGTATCATAAAAGCTGTTTTAATTTTATTCCACAGTGGGCTCTAAAGAGGCAGCCATGAAACAATTGTAGTCAAGTTAATCAAAATGAAAATTTAATGTTAAATGCTACTGCTTGCTCTTGTAGTAAGCATTCTGGCAAGAGGATTCGGAATGATTTTCAAAGCCAGAACGTAGTGAAAAAACAACAAAAAACCCAATGCCTTCTTTTTAGCTTACATCTTTTTAATATTTTAAAAAAACTGAACCTGTGTCTGCTTTAGGCAAAGTAACTTTAATAAAAATTGTCTAGAAATAAAGCTTAAAATATCCTAGGGTAGGCCACTCATAGACTATGATACCACATTAAACAAGTTCAGAAAGTAAACAGTATTGTGATATAATTGTCCTTTTGCGTAACTACTATGCATAACATACTGAAATGTATATATTTTGCTCATGGATATAGTAACAAGAAGTCTAAAAGAATGGTTTGTTAAATTCCAAAATATGTGAGCACCATCCTGAGATCTGGCATGTTAGCATGATGCTGGGACATACTTTATTTCCCTATTTTGACCCTTATATTTTTACATTCCTGCTTTAAAAAACAAACAAACAACTTTTTAACACTACTTTAACTTCAGAGTAATCTGCTTTAAACAAGATTCAACATCAAAATCAAAAATAAGTATTTGTAAGCTGGACATAAAGAACTGAGTAACTTGTCTTTCTGATCTTTGGTCCAAAATATTCTTTGGAGTCAACTTTCTTGTTACCTTCTCTCAATGTTTGCGTTAAAGGTTGGCTATAAAGTAATACTGCTGACCTATTCTCCTTTTCTCTCGTCTTTACAGTGTTTCACATTTCTCAAAGGCTCAGAGACAACTCCCCCATCCATATCACCAACCGTTAATTTTCATTCTAAAAACTATTCTGGCTTTGTATTTTCTACATATTTCTAACTGGATGTCATAGTGTCATGTGTTATGCATCTTACATTCATCCAATAGATACTTATTGAGGACCAACTATGCTGAAAGACCTAGCAGTACACCACAGTGGACCAAGTAAGTACCTACCCTCACAAAGCTATCATTATTTTTCATTCTTCTCATTTATAGAAATATTATTATTGATAGAACTCTTTAAATACACTAATCAACTGTTCTGCTCACGTGCCTCAACAGTTCCCACTCCTTCCTTGGCCCAGTGCTTGAGGGCTGTGATCTAGTTCCAAAGGAATCTATTGCTTTATGTCCTTAATCTAGAGCCCAACAAGACTGTTCTCTGTTTACCTATTGTCTGCACTGTCACACAACTGAGTCCTCTTCTCACCATCATTCCTCTGCTATACTGTTTCTCTACCTTCCAACCTTGAGACACGGGCATTGTATTCCTGACTCAAATCCTAATTGTATTTAAGCTTATATTTCCATGTTGAATTTATAAACTTTTTAAGGTATGAACACAAGACATGTAGGTCAACTTATTAATGCTGTACATTAACATGTAAAATGAAATTAAAATAATGTAAAAGAGTTGGAATTATCAGAATGTTTTCCCCTTTTAAAACTGGTGCAGCTGGGCAATGGTGGCTCCTGCGCGTAATCCTAGCTACTTGGAAGGCTGAGACTGTAGTTTGAATAGTCCATAATAGTCTTATCTCTAGTTAACCACCAAAAAGCCTGAAGTGGAGCTCTGGCTCAGTCTTGAAAAAAAGCAAAAAGACATTGCCCAAGCTCTAAGTTCAAGCAGCATAACCAACAACAACACTGAAACTCTAGTGCACATTTTTTCCAAAGTTAAGAAACATAACTGTAAGGGTTAAGGAACAGAGACATTCAGAAGTATAAATGAAAGTTTCTTATATCATTCCACCTTACTAATGCCCAGAGCAATGCAACAGAGCAACCCAGACTCACCCCCTTTCAGTTTTGTTGTGCTGTCTAAAGACTGTAATAGCTTTACTTAGAATATCTCCCTTATACTGAATATTACTTACAGTGCTCATAACTATTTTAGCTTTGTACATCATTACAGTTGAATAAGATTTACTGTGTAACTACAGTGCCTGTGTAACTTAGAATAGTTCTGAATCAGTCCAAGTAGTTATATAACTAAC